ATAAAATCATAATCTGAGTTCAGATGAGTGACACTGTGCTAATGTGGCCTGTTGAAACCCCTCGTCCGCTCTTTATTCTGGTCAGTGACTCAGTTGGGTCAGAAGCTTGTTTTGTTTGTGTATCTGAATTCCCAGCTGGCTCTGAAGTATCAACTCCGTAAAGCCAAACAGGGGAAATGGTCAGAAAGGTTGCAACCTTTCAGCCACCGGGTTCACGTCCAATCAGAAGGTCACCGAGGTCAGATTCAGTGATTCTGAGTCCGTCAATAAATACTCTGTTAGTGAGTTCATCCAAACCTCTCAGGAAGTAAAACTGTCAGGGGAAAAACCTCTTCACACCAAACACTTAGTCTGTTTATGTTCATGTTTTCAAAGGCTTGGCAGCTTTCTCCAACGGCGAGACTGTGATTTCACTTAAACTCAATAGACTCAAGCTAACGTGATTTCATTTTTTAACACAAAGTGATGTGAGTAAATGAACTACATGTTTAAGAGCTGAACCAGTAGATCGATTAAAATGTTTAGTTACTTTTGATTAGTTTGTTAACTACTTATTGATGAATTTGACACAGGATGATTCAAGTTCTCGCTCGAAATAACTTTAAACTGTTACACTAAACCTAGTTTCAGTTTGGGCTAATGACGATGGTTCACTATTTGATGTTTTTCTTTTTGTTTTTTTATTTGAATCATGCATAATACAGCAAACATTAAGATGTGGAATAGCTGGCGATTCGATGAACATGAAAGAAGATCATTTTGTAGTTTTTATAAATAAAAAGAGTCACGCAGACTTCCCTGTTATTGGTCGTTTTCATTCTCAAAATTAGTTTCAGTGTTAAAATCCTGTAATTTTCCAAACCAAAACTTGAGTTCATGAAAATCTGCAGCTGCACTGTTTGGTGAAATCAGGACCTAAAAATCTTTCAGATCATCTTCTAGAGCTGTTCTCCTGAGTTGATGCGAAGCTGTAAACATCACTCTGAGTTATTTGCCGCTGGTCTGTTTTGGCATTGAACTTGGCGTCCCTCCTGCACATCTTTAGTCCACTGTTTGACACTAAACTATCACATTTCCAAAACAGCGGTGACTCTCCGCACGGCCGATGAAATATTCAATGATGCTTGGGTTTCAGCTCTTCACCAGGCTGAATCCTGCGGCTCGTACTGTTGCGTCCCCCGGGTGTCCCCTCTGCAGAGTTTGGACCTCGTCAGTCGGAAGCAGACCCCTGGGAGCCATTCATAATCCGACCTCGAGCTCGCAGGGCAGCGCTCGTTCTCCTGCACTTCTCTGCCAAGTGTTAAAAGAGAGATTCTTAAAAATGGAGCAGCCATATGTACCACACCCGGAGCTTTAAATGAGCTTTTCATCGAGGGGGGGTTCGACTTTTCTCCTCTTACAGCCCAGAGCACTCAGAGCCGAGGCCAGCCGCCTGCTGACAGGTCGGCCATCTTGGTTTTCTGTGGCGGTGTGAGGCATTCTGGGCTGGCGTTTGCAAAGTCTGGATGTTCATTTAACGTTGTTGTTTTTCAAAGTTAATTACTGAAGCATCCTGCGGTATACTGGTACATACTGTTTTTTCGTCATGCGTCAGTCACTCGCTGATACGAGCACCACGGCATCAAACATAATGAGCCAGAAGCTCAGCGTAAAGCGCGGGTATGTTTTATACTGTACACTGTTGGCAAAGGAGGGATGGGCAGTTACAGTAATTATTGTAGTTATTGAGCTTGACTTAGTGAGAGCATATATGAGGAGGGGGGTGTAGGAGGAGACACGGTTTTACCTGCATGGAGAAATTTTTGCCTCCCCCCAAAGAGGTTTTAGCGAGCGCCAAAGGAAAATCACCAGCGCCTTTCAAATATTCTCCGAATGTGTTTTAATAGGCATTTATCAAACAACTGTTAAGCAAGCAGAACATAAACTTAAACATGACGTCTTGGCTCCCAGCAGTCACCTCTCCACCTCTTTTTTTATTTATTTTTTATTTTATTTTAACTAGCGCTGGATTAATAAACCAGCTGTAGCGTTGGTTTGACTTCACCTGAACGCTCCACTACGAAGATGAGCTCGCGCTACTGGGAGAGCAGACTTCCTGTTATTTCTCACAATATAAAAGCCGTTTGTGCTTAAAGTGTGTCGGTATTCACCGGTACTGTCACTTTTACATTTTACCCTTTGGCGTACCGGCATCAGGACTCTCGTCTGCCCTCTTCAAATCAGGCTCTCTGGGCCCTACGTGACGCTCACCCGTTCCCGAGCCTTTCGTGCAGCCGTGTGCATCAAGCTCGTCAAAGTCTCTTTTCGCGAACCAACCAATCACAGCCTGGAGTAGGCGGGACATTAAAAAAAGGATGAGGCACTACAGCAAACTTTGTTGTTATGTATGCACAGTTTTTATTATTGACGAGTTTGTAGGCTACTTTGCAAAAAAAATGACCACGAGTATTTGTCTTACACAATAACTGAAAACAACCCACAAAAATGAAACTAATGTTTTGTCCAACTGGAATTAATATTAGACTACTAATAGTAAGCTATAGTAGCCTGTAGCCTAATATGATCTGAAATTATAATGAATACACAAACATTAGCACTAATCAAACCTTAACCACAGTGGTGCAGGCTGATATCAGAGAAAGGTTTTATTTGTGAAACAGCTGAATCTTAACTAATATTAACTAATAAACTATTTGTAAGCAAATTATCCAAATCAAGTGTAACCTGTAAATATATTATTATACTAACATCACACTTTACTTTTATACCTTTACTCCCCCAGGTTGTGGATTTATTTTGTTTATCAAATGGTCAGAAATTACAAGAAAATACATATATTTCAGTGATAAGGTGACTCATTGCTTTTACTGTACGCGTACCGGCCATGCTTACTGTCGCGCAAAGTCCCCCCCCAAAGGCCCATTCTGAGCGAGAAAAAACCCTTGGAGAGTGTGCATAAGCAGTGATTGGAGTGCAGTGTTTGTCAGACTGTGACTGTTTAATCAGACCACCAACAAGGCTCAACGTAGCGTCGCTGATGGCCGAATAGTTTTTTTAGATTCTCAGAGAGCTTCTTATCTAAACAGTACGGTTACATCTCCCGTGTGCGGCGGGAATCTGCAGGGTTGTAACACAATTTTTCAGCCTACATGGAGCCCTCTATGCAGGTGTTGAACTCTCGCTTATCCCCTTTATTTTTGCAAATGGCATTAGGGGCAGTAGGAGGATTATCTGTCTCATGTGCTGCTGTCGGGATATATTGACAGTTCAGCAAATATGCCAAAAAGTGATTTTTAAAATAATTCACTACTGCTGATTTAAGGAGAGAAACTCAAAATCATGACTATAACCACCAACATACATAGATTGTTTTAATCTCAAGGGAGCACACTGAAAGACTGAGTAAACAGAGGACAATAAACTGAACAACAAAGACTGCGATTATAGTTGCATCAGTAAGAAACCCCTGAAATCCAGTGAGAATATGAATTCCTGCATGTGACTGTGCCAGAGAAGAAAACGTTATCACATTCATCTAAAATCCATCAGTGTTCCTTATGTATGCTGCCATTTGTGTAGAAAAACTGTTAAAATCTAGCTTTTTTGTGAAAAGGTGGATGGAGATGGAGGTATCACGGACGGTAAACTCTGCTGCAGGTGGATGATCTCACACCTACATCTGCCGGCTCAGTTGTAAACTATTTTCGGTGGTGCAGCTGGTTGTGTCAGAGGAAGATGTTTGTTATGAAGGTGAGGACAGGAAGCTGCATTTCTCTCTTGAGCAACACACGCACATACAGTACATACATACAGTACATACTGTACATTTACAGACAGGTGTAATAACGTACGAGCAAAACACAAACTGAAAATAAATGTTGCTGTGAATTATAGGTCCTGCACACGCACCAAGGTGCTCTCAGTTACTGTGTTTGGTTGGAACACGTTGAAGGTAGGTGGAGCTACGATGACAGTTAAGTCAATGTGTGTCCTGGCCCTGATTCAAACTATCAACCGTCATCCGTCGGGTTTCCATCCAAATCTAGAGCAAAGTGTAGCCAAATTTCCAGAAAAGCAGCAAAAGAAAATGTGAATATTAGAAGCTGATGGCTGAAATATGCCATCTCTGTTCAGACACACCTATGAAAATAAGACACAAGCTGTAATAAACCAGAATCCTTCTTTAAGAATAGCTAAAGTATCATGTGCAGCCTGTACAGAACAAAGCTTAATATAAACCACAAACACTAAATGACGTAACAACAGGAAGTGTGTGAGATTTGCTTCACTGAAACGAGAATCAGAGCGCTGCAACGAGGAGCCGGGATAACCATGTGTTCCCAAAATACAGCCTGTAGACTTGAGTGCCTCTGGTTGGGAATGTGAGCTATGGACACCCTCTAAGCCCCGGGACCAGATTCCTACTTAAAATAGCATCCTGGGTGAAGAGAGACGTTCTGAGGCCATGAAGCTGCTTTCTGCAGGAATTTACACTTCAGTTAATTGGCGGTTTCTTCACAGCATTGGTGGACTGAATGGAGACCCAGGAATATCTGTGATATCTGTAAGAGGTAGTGAGGCTCTGACCTTTGACCTGCTGGTCCCTCATAATGTTTGATGATTGGTGACCGAATCTTCTCACCTACAGGCGTTTGATGGCTTAAAAAAAGACTAATGATGTCTAAAATTTCTACCGCAAAAGCAACAAATAACTGTTTAATTAGTGTCTTTTGTCTTTAAAATTAGGATTTTTTTTTTTTTTTTTACATACTGTTCAATATTCGGTGTTCATAAGGTTTCTTAAACTCCAAGGCAGTCGTGGTGCGAAGTAATTTTACAATATTTTAGTTGTAATAGCAGCAATTCAGATTTAAGAAAAAGTAAGATGAATATTGTGATAATATCTGTACATCTGCCCATAGACACCTCTGCAGGTGTGAAGCTTTAACCTGCAGCCTGTGACACTGTGATAATTGGGGGGAATTACAGTAGTTACTCACAGAAAGCGGTCTGTTCTGGAGGGTTGGGGGGGGCCATAGGAAGTAACCTGTAACTTAAGGTCTACGACCACGCCTGTTAGCCTGAAAGAGCAAAGACAAAACATCATCAACTTCAATCGATTTATAATGCTGAATGTGTCTGTGTGGAAACGTCTCAGTGATGAAGATGAATGAGTCGTGGTGAGAAACGTCACTTTAACAGTGAGTTAACTGGATGATCGTTGCTGCAAACGCTTCCCTCGAGAGAAACTTTGGAGTTTAACAAAAACACTGACTAAGTGAAATGATCTGTGCTACCTGAGAACTAGTAAATTGTCTTTACTTTATACTCACAAGGTACATATCATTAATGAATATATACAATTATGAATTAATAAAAGAATATTAAAAGATCATGTTCACATCAAAAATATCAATGCATGGATGAGAGTAACGTTACCACCAGCTGGTTCACTAGCTTTGCCTGGATGACGGTCAGTTCAAGCCTTATTTTAGGATTAGAGTCGGGGATATTTAGACAATGTGATGTAAACTGGCAGACCTAACATCACAAAACTTAACACAGGAAGCCCCTTGGTCCTGCCGAGCGGCTGAGCATGTTTGTGCTAGGTTGTTTGTTTTAACGTCAACTTATATTTTGGGTTTAGGCCTACAGTTTATCTAACAGAAAAAAGGTAACGGCTTAACACAAAACATGAACTGTATGCTACCACTTAACTACTAGTACAGTTTAAATTAATGAAAACTTACCCAAAATACCAAAGTCTTTGCCTCCAGACCTTCTGTTTTCTATCCAGCATTGACATTAGGCACTTTTCGGCTGAAATTTTGGTGCAAAATTGGTGCAAAAACATGCGAGGTGCCCAGGGTGCATTTGCAGTGCACAAAACGGTCAATGCCTTTTGAAAACAACTGAAAAAAAATAAAACTGTTCCCACTGCAAAAATGATTGCTAGTTCAGTTATGTGTTAGAAAATATTGAAGTCTAAGAAAAATGTTTCAGCGTTCAACCTAATGAGTGGCTGTGGTTTCTCTAAAGTTCATACATTTGTTGTTCTGTTAATATGAGAGAGGGTAGGAGGATTGAAAAACTGGACACTTGACTTAGTTCACAGTCAGTGTTCGTCAGTGTTAAGCACCTGCATGCATACTTTATAATGATGGTTTGAGGAGCTGGCCATCATAGGAAAAATAACAGTTATATCTCAGTAAACATCGCATTCAAGTATAAACAGAAATATTTACTATTCCTTGTATTGAGAACAATGTTTAAGACTTTCTGTTACTAATTACGATGTTTTTATCTCCCTCAGGCACAATTATCAGCCATTGCTTCTGCCTATGAGAACTACAGTAATACAGTTACATATTATAATACTTATATTATAAGTACAACACTTAAGTACAACAAACAAATCTTACTGGAACTAGCAGACCTTCAGTACAGGCAACAATCAGAAACGGGCTCAATACAACCAGTGGTGCGAAAGTAACTAAGTAATATTACAAAAACAATTTTATGGTACTTGTACTTTACCTTAAGTAATTCTATTTTCTGTTACATTATACTTCTAACTATCTCCACTACTAGTGTACATTTCAGACGCAGATGTTGTACTTTTACTGCACTACATACATTTATTTTAAAGCGTTGGTTACTGTTACTTTGCAGACATAGATTAGCAATACAAAATATAAATCGACAAAGTAATTATTATTAAGTCTTATTATTGATTACACTACCCAGCTGTAAGTAAGGTACAATTACTTCCACCTTTACCAGCTGCAACATGAAAGTCATTAACATTACTGCATCACTAATTATAATCAAATAATAAAATTATGATTCTGATTTTAGCCATTCTGCATATAAAAGTACTTAAAAAGTAAGTTTTAAGGACATTATGAGGCCAAAGTTTTGAATGCGGGACTCTTGCGTGTAACAGAGTATTTCTACCCTGTGGTAAAAGAGTTGAGTACTTTGTTCACCACTGTCCACTCACACCCAGTAAATAGACAGAGCCGGAGCCAGTAAATAGACAGAATCACCGCGGGATATTTAACAAGCAGTAAAGAATGAAAACGGCAAAAGAAAAAAGGGACAGAAAAAGGCATATTGTTATATTTAACTCACATCATTTGAAGAGGCAAGTCTCCTTCCCCTCATGGAGGTTTTCTGACCCGTATCCACATCATAATGTCGCTGTACGTGCTGCTTTTTGGCGGTTAGGACTCCAACTACTAGTAGCTAGCCTGAATTTCTAGCTAGCTAACATCCCATAACCGATGTAAGTAACTAGCCCGGTTATTTTAGGTGATAACTTGCTACAGTTTATTTGTTGTGAGGCTAAACTGCAACCGACTCAGCTTCACAGGTGCGACCACTTCCTTTTCTATTTACCAACGGATGTCAACCTCACCTGGCTGCTTCTTCTCCATGATTACCTGAACTGGACGAGTGCAGTACCCTTTTGTGACCGCTCACATTGACTAACGTTTACCGGCCGTTACAACCCAGAGAGGCGCTGTTTCACTAATTTGAAGCATTCAATGAAAAGTTTGGAAAAGATGAAAACAAATGTTGTTTGATAAAAATATATATATATTTATAAATAATTTGTGTTAATAAACTTATTAGGTGCTTCACAAATCCTCTTCTATGAAATCAAATACATTCTCAGGTATTATTTTAGATACTTAACATTTAATACCAAGGCTGCAACGAACAATTCTTTTTTATTAATGTAAGTGTTATGTTGTTGATTAAGTGTTAATTAAGAGTTAATTGTTTGGTTTGTAAAATGTCCAGAAATAGCAGAAACTGTCCGCTGCACAGCATTAATCTATCATTGCTGATTTCAGCACTAGTTAATACAGTAAAATGAATCTTTTTGACATGCATTATTTAGCATGTTGCCACATCATAAAGTTTAGTGAGGAAGATATTTTGGCTTAACTTGGACTCTAATCCCCCACGTTACAAAGGTTAATTTTATTATATATTTGTGCAATATGTTGTTGTTTTTTGTACGAGTTATTATGACTTAATTAATTTAAACCAATAACCAGCAAAGAAAAAACTAAAATAGGAAATTATCTCTAGAGCACCGTCAACTTTATCTATCCATTTATCTATCTATCTATCTATGAGTTGAGGTTGTGAACAGTTTCCTGAGCTCAGAGTGAATCAGAACTGTTATGTCTTTCACAGATGGACAGACACCTGTTGTACTGAGACAATGACCCCCAGTCAGCAGGTCAAAGGTCACAGGGAAGCACAAACACTGGCCCACTTCAGAAAAGTACAGATAGATATGCATCCTTTTTATACACAGTGAACTCACTTATGATTGAGTTAAAGTTTGTCTTTGCGGAGTCTCTCACCACATCAACAGAATGCAAGAGGACAACAAGGAAAATATGAACCATTCACACCACACACCATACACTAAGTATTTTTCTCATCAATTATTACCTTGGAACAGTACATTAAGAGTATGAAGATTCATCAGCAACAGTTTTTGATAATCGATTAAACAATTGAACTTTATTTATATAATTAAGTTGTTGAGAGTTAATTTATTGATCAAAAACACTAAATATTATCTGGCTTTAAATTAAAAAATGTGAGAATTTTCAGTACTTCTGTGTTTTATATCCGTGTAAACTGAATATCTTTAGAGTGCAGACGTTTTGGAGACATCATTTTGGGCTCTGGTGATGGGTATTTCTCAATATTTCAGCCATTTTATAGATTTAGAAAATTGCTTCTTTGAGTAATGGTGCAGCACAGGTATGTCAATGTTAAACTGAGGGCTTTGTAGGTAATTACATAAAGCTAAATCCAAAAAATACCGGAGAATCTGAAAAAGTCCAGTGGAGAGCAGATGACTGCAGGATAAACATAAAAAAGTGAATGATGACGTCCTGAAGTCGAACCAACACTGTAAACCGTAAATCGTGGACTTAAGTGCACACATACAGAGCTGCAGTGTCAGCAGTCCAAACACTGGTGGAGCATCTGGAAACTTCATCCACCTTCACCTCTGACACTGCTTCCACCCTCCACCCCCTGCAGGCTGCAGGCTGGGATACTGCAGGGTGGAGGACCTAGAGGGGACAGCAGCCAGCCTGAGGACCTGAGGGAAGTGTCCGTGGGGGAAACTCCCACGGGGACAAACGATCCTGCCATGTTACCGAACAGGACGCCGTGACCTGGAAGTCTTGTTTTCTACATTAGACTCAATATGGTAGACCAATCTCTCAACAGCCGCCCTGGGAACCCAAAACACTGGCAAAGTACGAGGGAAAGGGTACTGCATGATGACGACAACCAAAATACTGGAGGAAAGCTCTAATTTTATACTTTAATGATGCTGACATGAAGTTAACACGACATTAAACTAGAATCAGAAAGTGGAAACACAATGAGCCTGGATTCGAAACATAACCTGCAGCAAACACCAAGCAATAATGTGCTAGTTTGACATGGTTGTTTCCACCGGTTTAAGTTTTTTAAAGCATGAAAGCACGATGATTTTTGCTTTAGCTTTAAAAAGGAAAGTCTTTGTGTCTTCTTACATTAAATCATTTATATGACACACATGACACTTCTTTTCTCTTTTCTTTGTCTACTGATAAAGTTTTACTTCCTCCCCCCTGCTAAGACATTTGTAAATGTCCAGCCTTTCCATCATTTCCATTATCCAAAGAGCCTTTTATTCATTGTTCTGTTACATCTGACCAAACATCAAAACATCTTGTCCTCCTCTATCTTTATGGCCTACGTGTTGTTAAGATGCTCCACATTTATGGAGTCCTCCATGTTCTCATTATCAGTTGTCACTCAGTAATGTTTTCGGTCATTTCCCAAAGCTTGTGATTGCAGGTGAGGGTTTAACTGTTGGATCATCAACTAGTAAATCAAGAGCTTCTCCTTCAGGCTCAGCTGCTTGTTCACAGTCAAGTCCATCAGCTGTATTACTGCTGGTGGTTCAGCTGTTCCACAAAGAGAGACTGTCGCTTCCGTCTAACAAATAGCCACATTTTAGGACATGTAAGTAGGGCTGGGCGATATGGCTAAAAATGTTATCACGATGAAAACATTTCATAGCATTCGACATGAATATAGATATGTAATTCATAATCAGAACGATAAATGTCAAATCATTATTTCTTTCAAGTTTATAGGCTAATTTTTGCCCTTGAATGAAAATTGAAGGGCCATATTGTTGTGGTGAAACTAGAACACACCTGATGCCAAACAGGGGATCACTTTACATATCTGAGGTAGAACATTCAAAACAATTATGATAAAAACTCAAAAAGTATGATCAGTAACTTTTTTCAGTCCCTTTTCCTCAACAAAATGACCACCTTAATAGAAAAATTAAAGCCCTCCTCCAGTGTATTTTGACATTTCTATGATATTTCATATTTTTCTGAGTCATTTCCTTACAATGTTGATTAGCCACATAGTTCGCCAGATATTTTTTGACAAATGGCTTAATTTTGTGCTCGAAGTTGCAAAAGTTGCTTAGTTGTTAAAACGGGGTTGTGACGTATGACTATAGTAATTCCATAATAGTAAGTCATACGTCATGCCTCGTTAAAAAACTGTCACGCCGTCACGCCTCATTAAGTCAGAGCATCAAACCGATAAACATCGTTGTGATCTAGCTAACCAATTTATCATGTCATTTACTTAGAACTTACAGCAGGTATGTCTCTCTGTGTCTGATTGTTGGTTTGTCTTTCTAGTTTAGTTAGCTACGTTAACTAAGTTGTAGTTAGCCAGCACATTAGTTTCTATCAGGGGTCAGTAATAGCTACTCCTGCCAGACAGTAAAGTGTACTAAACTTTACAGTGTAGTGATGTTAACACAGCATAACGTTAGTGAACCCTCCAGCTGGTCAGTTTTTGGTTGTCATGGTAATGTATTATGTCCGACTAAGTTTGAGAAAGAACATTAACCAAAAACGGCAGTTAAAACTGGCGGGAGGGGGGCTTTAACGGACGGTCAAATTCTTGAAAATTTATGTCATTTTACCTACGAATTCTGTGCAAATTAAGACTTTTTTAAAATTAGAAAACACGGTTGACAGAGCAGGTCTTCAGATGTACATTGCCACACCACCATCCTTGCACATTCCCTCTACTAACTAACATTTTTGCACTATTACTTGCATATTACACATATATTGCACATATTGTACATATTTTTGTGTGTATATGTGTGTATACAGTATAAATTCAGGTATCGAGGTAGTTTATTTATCATTATACAACATAAGATTATACAACGAAAAGAAACTTTGTAGTCGCTTGATGCTTCACACACACACAGAACTTAACAGATAAACATCTGCATTTTAAAATATGGTAACATATTTACAGTTGCATATATACATACACATATACACCCAAAACATTTATGTAAATGTTAACAGCAGCAACAGGATGATAATATTAGGACTTTAATCTTCATAAAAATAGTCTGATATTTGTGAAACAGTGTCCACTTTGACTCAGTTTGAGTACCAAGCATCATCCATGTAAATATATATTTTTGCATATACATAACTCTATATCTTCCTTTAGTTGTCCTTTTAAATACTTAATTATTCAATTTTATTGATTGATTCTATTCTAATTTTAACCACTTGGAAAACTCTAGCTATTTGTCCCTATTTCCAGGAAAAATGCCCAAAATGAATCAGTAAATATTTGAATACTTGTTTATACATATTCTTTTTCTGTGTGTGTGGAGATGGCTACAGCTGTATTTCATTATGCAATAATGTATTTTATAATGACAATAAAGCTGAACCCTGAACCTTGAATTCTACCGCTCTCACTCTCTCACCCCCATCGAGGCAGATGGCCGCCCACCCTGAGCCCACGGTTCTGCTCGAGGTTTCTGCCTCTTAAAAGGAAGTTTTTCCTTGCCTCTGTCGCCTAGTGCTGCTCTTGGTGGGAACTGTTGGGTTTATGTAAATAATATCCCAGAGTACAGTCTAGACCTGCTCTTTTATGAAAATATGCAAATACTAAAATCCTTCCAGACACAGAAAATCTCAATACAGTGAAGCTCAGTTCAGAGGTAGCCTTTTAAGCCTTAAAAGAAGTTTATTTGGTGAAACTGTCTAACTTTCATCAGAGTAATCCAGTAGTTCAAACTTTTTTTTGTAACGCCCCACTTCAGGTGCCGAAAAAAGCTCAAGCCCCACCAACTCTGGTAAAAAAAAAAATAATTTATCATTAACAATTGATATAAAATAATGGCCTGACCCCCAGTTTGAGAACCACTGGACTAATCTAAGACTGGCCTGTAGAGTTAGGCCAATCCAAAACACCTTTGTGAAATCGGACCC